AGGCCATCGTCACAGCCATTATCTAAAAAGGGTTCGAAATAAATGAACTAGTTATATTCTCTGCTGGCAATGGAGGGATTGCATTCCTGGTCGCTCCGGCCCCGTGTCAGTCCTTTTTCGGGGGGCTTAAGTGGCAGATTTTTAATTGAATTGGCTGCAGTTGCTGCTGCTATTGCTGCATTTTGTCCCCATGGCTACCCTCCCATTGCTGGCCACATTTTTTTAGCATATTACTAACCATTTGTTTTTTGCATTAGTTTTTTGTCAGCTGTAGTCAGTTGGGGGGGTGTGGTGGCGAGAGCGAACAAACAAATCATTTGACATTTTATACATATTCCATTATATATCGGATGCATGTCCATATACATATAATACATATGGATATGTTTCCATATAGCCACTGGTGGCCACCGCCTACTAAATAGAAAAATAGAGGCGACTGCGCATTTAGCATTTTACGCTGCTTTTATTTTTTATGCAGAGCTGCGCATTTTTGCAATTTATATAAATATTTTATATATTATTTATTTTACACATAAAATATTTTTTTAGCCAGTTCTTTCTTTTTTTTTGTTATGCGCTCGTTCATTTCGAGCGCTTTATAAATTTTGCATTAATTTGGCTTTTTCTGCTCTTGTTCGGCCTTTTTTTGCTCGTTTTTATTATTATTATTTTATGCATTTTTGATGAAATAGTTTTTGGATTTTGTGCAGCTAATTTTAAAGCAGTTTTTTCGATTATTTTTTGTTATTTGACAGAAATAAATGTGGGGAGGGTGAGGGTGAGCAGCAGAGGTAAAATCGCTTGAATTTATGCGGCAGCCAGTAGCTGATAGTTTTAAAAGATTTACGGCATTTACGAGGCGATTCTGGCATTGGGATTATTATTTTATAAATGCGTTTTGATTTGTTCCTCCCTTCCCCACAATGACGAAGACTTTGGTAAGGGGCGGCTTGTTGAATGACAATCAATTATCTGTTCGCTATTCAATTGCCATGTTTCTCTTTCAATTTCAATCAAGTTTATTGTCATTTGATATAATTCAAAGCAAACAAATCTTTTTTTATACGTTTTATTAATTTATAATTGCTCAATGTACGGGCTTCGGCCGAAAAAGAACAAAATAATAAGAGATAACATATTTTGCATAATCAAATCTATTGGATGGTTATGGAAATGTTAGCTTTAATGGATACTCCCAGAATTGTCTTTGTTTGTTGTAATTTTCGCTGATTTATAGAACATTTTAATCCATTAAAATTTAAAAAGTGGATTATAATTTGCTCTTTCAAAGATGGAACCTTGACACTCTGCCAACTATAATTTTTAACAGCAAGAAAATAATCTCTAAAAATCTATATGACCAGATGAGAACTATAAGAAAACATTGTTCAAATCATAAATTGTAAATGATTTTATTAGAATCCAAAGACTACATTCTGATTCCCGGCACACAACTGTCTTAACTGAAGGGCTGTACGGTGGGTATTTAATAAGCTTGATTAAAACCCACAAGGTCATCCATCCAACGGAATGCGCACTGATATGTACATATTTACATATGTATACACATGTATGAATGTATGTATTTATATTAATAGCTCTGGCGCCCAATCCATCGAACAATGAGACAATGGAGAGTAATCAAATTTAACCTATTTACGTTCAACGCCTTGATCCACTCCAGCATAGTCCGATGGCGATGGCGGCGAGCGGGCTTTAATTATGCATTAGCCAAACGTACCGTTAAATGAAACACTTTGACTTTCCAAAATCACAGACGCAGACACAACGACAGGATACGATTATGTACACAGGTTCACAGAAGGGTGAAGAGATGGGCCTCTGTGGGCAGGAATGTAACTTGAAACTTATTCAACTAAGTTGAGAATGTGGCCACCGCGTCAAATTGGCCGGCATCATCAGATTATACCCCGTGCTTGAAGGGTCTGCTGTCTACTGTTTTAGTAAAACTTCAAGGAGAAAGTATATGTTATTGTATGTCGATGAACATCAACACCAGAGTCAGGAGAGACATCATCGTGTTACGGACTATCAAAAATTTGGCATGTTGCTCCATAGATTCCGTTGTCGATTTAGTTTGTAATATAGTGGGTATTGGCAAGTCGAATTACTTCGTTATGAGACATGTTTGCCATCTTCAGGATTGTTGTTGCAGGAACGTGTTGAATGCTGTGAGCGGGTGGGAGCGACTACGACAAACATCATGATAGCCATAATAACTATAATAATCATCAGTCGTGGACAGGGAGGGGCTTTAAGTCAGGGTCGTGGCCACAAATGCTAAACAATGGCGTTGGCTGCCCTTCTGTTGTGTTGGAGTTCCAAATTGAAGGCGACAGTTTTGCAGAGGGCGAACTCGAACTCGAGCATAATCACCCAGAGGCTGTTGAGGGATTTGAAAAGTGAAAATCATGCCGCCAGAGTGTTAGAGATTATTAGCAACACCACGGGGGGGATTTAATAGATGGACTCTCTCCCGCCCTAAATACAATTTTTAAGTTCCTCTGTGTTTTTATGTAACATTTTTTATTGCCTCTACTTGAAAGTGCCTTCTGAAAAAAAAAAAATTGACATCCGCTCTAATTTCAGCCCCCACCGTCTCTCATTGCCTATCACTTATCACCCTCTGTCATGCCACACACTCTCTTTCTTTTGCCCTTTCTTTCGCTGTCTGTCCTTAGCCGCAGATATTTCGGTCAGAATGGTGTGACGTAGAAGCAGTTGAAAGTAGAAAAAAAAGAAAGACGAGAAGCGAACAACCGAAAAAATGAAAAAGAACCGTTGTAGACAATCGTCAAATAACTGACAGTCCAATCGACGCATGAAAGAGTTTTCCCGGCACTGAACCGTTCTAGCACTCCACCAGAACTGTTCCCCGTTTTTCCGCGGCAATTTTTCCCTCAAAAAATTCTAAGGAGGGTGATAAAAGCGTTTGGTTTTTCTTATGTGCGTGTGTGTGAGGAGGATAAGAGGATATTAAGGGTGAAGGTGTGCTCGATGTGTGTCCTTATCATTGGGATTTTTAATTCTTAAAGAAAAGGGCGAAAATTATGTTTGAACATTTTACATTTTCAATCTTTGGAACCAAAGATAAAATCGAATAAATGTTGTATGTAATTCTCTACTTGATCAACGCTAACAACGATCTGAAGAATGTAGCCTAATATCCAGTTTTATTGAAACCTCTAAAACCTCAAAGAAGCGATGGTTATGAAAGCCATCATTAGCTCATCTAATCCGAGTCTTACCACTTCTCCTGCATGGCTTCTCCTTCTCCTCATTCAAAAAAATTGAACCTAAAGCAAACCTCACCCTTCTTTGTTAATAAAATATCCGTTTACCGCTACCACGCTCCCTCGAGCACTGCGAGGGGGACTCAGATATATTTTATGATCGTTCATGGACTGAAGACCGGAGTTGAAAGGAGAGAAGCTTTCAAAAAACGTTGAAATAGCGACGGCAATGACGTTGACGCTGGCGACGGCCGCTACGGATCTATACTTTCTCTCTCTCTCTTTCTCTCTTTGGCAGCGACACCTTTACGCCACCCATCTACGCAAAAGGTAGGCAGCGCTCTTGACCCTTTTTCACCCAAACCCACAAGTCCCGGGGACCCAAACCCGAATGAGAAACAGTCCCCCGCCGCTTTTTACCCTTTTATTCTTTTCGAAAACTTTACGCTGCCCATACCCACCTCATCTCCTCCCACACGGTCCACCTCCCGCCACGTTTCAGTCAAGCAGACAAGCGACAACAACGTTGTCCACTTTCGCACCCCTCCGCCCACACCCAGGCACACGACGAAACCCAAGAGCGAGCGAGAGCCACCATAGAGCAGCACTGACAGGGAGAGAGAAAGAGAGAGACAGAGAGAGGAGAGCAACAACGTAGCCGGCTCATATATTTTTCTCATTTATTTTTCCCGACTCCGGTCCACAGGCCCTCTCCCTTTCCCACTCCATCAGCCAGAGCCCACGCTCCTGACGACCGACCAGCCTGCTATATTTTTTGTGCGTTTTTCATATCCGAAACGCCGACAATATTCCCCGACCCTGCCAACAGTCCACCCATCCTCTAACCACCCATCCATACCCATTCCATCCCCCTTTACGACACCACACTCCCCACCGCACACCACCACAGTCACTCTACAACGATGACGATCCAGCCGGCCTTTTTTTCGCCATGCCGGCGAAAGAAAGACAAAAGCAACAGCAACAAACGGTCCTCGAACCTCTGCCTCTGACCACCCACTCATTTACTTACTCTCACCCACTCACATTCTCAACTCTCCCCGACCACCCAACGGGGACGCTCTCTGTGTTGTGTTGTTGTTGCATTTTTGTCGGCGTCGCGTGCACACAAAAAAAAACGAGCCAAACCAAAGCGAAAGAGCGAGAAACAAAAAAGGAGAAAAAAGCAACAAAAATAATTGCCGCCCAGCGCCGTCACCCACTACCCATGCCTATGCTCATGGCCTTCCCCCTCCCATCCCTTCCCATCCCATTCCATTCACAAAACTCCGGCTCTCAGCTGTTTGTCAACTCATCTGCCGCGCCGCCATCCGGCTGGATGCCAGCTCCAGCTCCCTCCATGCCCCCCACACCTCTGGCGCTTGGTTCGTTGACGCCGAGCGTCGCGTTATCGGCGTTTCTCTGTTTTTGTACTCATATCCCTCGCTCTCGCTGGCGAGGGCATAGAGATAGAGAGAGGGCCATGCCCACTGCCACTGCCCGCCTGGACACAATGTGTTGAATACTTTTTGGCGCTCGCCTTTCACACGCACGTTCGACGGCGTCCCACATTCCCGCTAGCAGGCACTGCGCAGGCGCTGCCACCTATCGCCTCTCACTCGCTCGCGCTCTCACTCGACGCCACACACTCGATGCCGCAGTCGACGCCGCTGCCGGCAGCCACCGAGGCCCAAAACCCATCTGTCTGTCTCTGTTTTGGTCAGTCAGCAGTTGGCTTTCGTCGTGTTTGGTTCGCCCCTGGTGGAAGCGCTCTGAGCCGATAATAAAACAAAACAGAACAGAAAACATAGATCCAAAACCGTTGGCAAATCAAAAGTGTCAAAAAAAAATCACAGTCAACTCAAAACAGGAACCGCCCGCCCTCCCTCCAAGTATCTGTCGCATTTCGAAAACCACCCGATACAAAAGTGTGCCAAAAAGTGTACCGCTTGTTGCATTCGTCGCGCCAAATCGCGCTCACTGGATACTCATACTCATACTCATACTCGTAGTCGCATAGATATTGACGAGATTCGTCAGCTGTCAGTTGTTGTGCAAGTAGAAAAACCCGCCAAAAAGCCGAGAAATCCGTTCCGGTCTTTGGGCAACTCAAGCGGAAGTTACAAGTGTGTTTAGTGCTAAAGATCCAATAGAAACCAGTTGCCTAAGCAGCAGCTTTGACATCGTCGCATTTTGGCACCGTTTCCGCCTGTTCAACGCCTTTTTCTTTGGCCAATTTCCTTATCCGACGCCGGCGTTAAAAAAATCTGCCAAAATTCCGAAGAATCCGAGAAAAACTCCAAAAACATCGACACGTACCGCATCGGCAACCGGTGGCGGTGGCGGAGGTGCTGGCGGAGGCACCACCACCAGCACGAAAATGGCATCTAAAAGAAAAGCCTCGGTGTTGCTGCACAAGGTGAGTTTTCTTAAGGATATTGGATGTACACTTCACATATCCCTAGGTGCTCTAGAAGCATAGGAAGTTTATAAGGTTTTCAATCTTTTGCGCACAGCAAGGCAATTGAACTCTTTCGTTTTGTATAGGAGCGTGAAGCCGAAAATGTATGACATGAATTGAGGCAGCAAATGTTTTTGAACTTTGTAAACTATTTCTGTTGAAAAGGGGAAACATTGTCTAATCAAACCTCAAACTTTCATTACCTATTGAATGAAATGTGATGAATAAGTTTAAGTCCCCAGCAATTATTCAGCAATCAAACATATTCGCATCGTTTCCCATCGTGTAACTTTCATATTTCACCATATTACTCACAACCTGCTTCAGGTCCCATAAAAATATTTCTTTCTGCTCTCAGCCAGACCAATATGAAATCAATTTTCCCATTCCACTAAGACAAGCATCCTTTGCCCTTCCTTAGACCCACCGCAGACCAGACACATTTACCCAGCCGCAGAATAAACAGTTCGAAAAAAATACAAGCATATATCGGGGGAGGTGGGCGCAAAAAAGAGCGGAAGAACCGTAGACAGTCGCAAAAATATTGCTAATACACCGAATAGGCAGCACTCGCAGAAGAAGACCTGCTCATAATGCCTTTTCGGATAAAAAGGCGCCTAGATGGGTCTCAGAGGGTGATGCAATACACAGGGGAAAAAAGGTGTAGAGGCGTAGGAAGAGGCACCCTAATGATATACGTCGGTACAGAGACTGTGTCTCTGCGTGTGGAGTCTGCTTCATAAATGTAGCGGTGTCTGTGCTGGTTCCTTGGAACGAGTATATAGAGGCGCGAATTGAGGCTGGGGCAAGACTTGGCTAAGGGTGCGTGTCTCTGTCAACGCTGCTGGCAGGGCAGAGGCTACGGGTGGCAACGGGTGTCTGGCTTAGGAGCACGGCACGACTGGGGGCTAGCCGCCGAAAATGAAACGGAGCGTACACACACACACACAGAGAAACACTCACCGTAACAGCCCAATCCTCATCATCATCCTCATGCCAATGCCCTTACCCATACCCTCACCCACACCCACACCACCCCTAGCGAAGGGCGCACATTTGCTCCGCACGGTAATTCATCAAATGACGAAGACGAAGACGCAGTGGAGGGCGATTACGATGGCGATGGCAACGGCAAAATGGGTGCGACGGTGTGGGGAAACTTGTGCGCCAGCATTGCCGCCACAAAAGAAGTTGCTTCTTGGTCCCAACCGCACCGCCCCCCACCACAAGACATTCGCACCCCACACCCACACGCACCCAAAGGCAAAGACACAAAGCGAGTCCAGAGACTGACCAGCACTCCCCTAAAGTTGCTCTGTAAGTGTGTGTACGTCTGTGAGTGTGTGTGTTTGTGGTAGGGTGTTTGTCCTAATGCGGTTGAAGAGGGTCTGTTGGACTTTCAAAATAACTCCACCTGTAATTCAAGCAATCCATCTTTAACCCTCGAGAAAGATTATTCATGTACAGCGTGAGGTTATTTAATAGTTTTTTTTCTTTTTTAAAGTATCTAACTGGCAGCAACTAAAGAGCATCCAAACTTCGTTTGATACCAGATAGTTTCCATTTCTTACTTGTTTATAGGGTGGTCTAATCCCCCGTCGCAGCTCACCAGCTCACCCCCATGACCGGGGCGAGCCCCCAAGCCCAGCGTCAAAGCAACAAAAGCATTGACTTTCGTATATAGTCAGCGGCATTTGTATATAAATAGTTGAACCACCATGTATGTGCTCATGTTTGTCAAAGGAAACCTCACTCCACTTTCGGGTCCTGGCCCAGGCCCGTCAACCCTTTGTGGGTGGGTCAAGATTTACGCTTAAGCGCACATAAGCCGCCACAGGACATCACCGTGTGTGGGGCGGCGCCCAGGGCCAGCGTCTTTAATTCGAGTCTCAAAATTCTCCCTGGGTGTACGCCGAAACTTAAAGATTTTGTTGAAAGTTTGCAGCTTCCACGGACACCCATCGGGGGCATAAATTGTTATGCTACTCAGCTGTAATCAAACATGATTTGGTATCGGGTGCCGGCAAAGTCAGGGCTAGATTCAGAGCTAAACTGGGAGTCAGTCATCAACCCATCATCGAAGGTAGGAAGTTACACATCTCAGCATTAGTGTCGCAGGCAGACAACGTGCCAAACGAATCGAAGCAGGCGACTACGTCGACGAGAATGAGAATCTCAACTAGAACCAGTCAATGTCGTCAACAACAGGCAGGGGAATGGAGACATAGCTGGAGCTTGAGCAAGACGATAGAATGAGAACGAGGTAGGACCTTGGGGTGGAGCAACTTTTGCCACGACGGAGACGTCTTTCGACAGTCTTGACTGGGGCCTGGCTCTCCACCTCGGTTAGATGTTACGGAAAATTGCTTACGGTTTTTTGCACACACACACACACACACAAACACGGGCGCACATGAGGAGCGAAGCGGGTGGCACACACATGAATGGAGAGAATGGGGAGAATGGAGAATGGAATGGGACAGGGACTCGGGCAGGGGGTGGTTATATGGCTGCGTCGCATCATACAAACAGACAAGTTAGACAGCCCAAGACCCTCATCTGCTCATCCATTGCTCGAAAATAGAAATAGATGACAAGAACACCAAAGACGACACGGCGAGAGGGGGAACAGGACATTGGGTGGATGATCTAGGCGATGGAGTAGCGGTAACGGTAGGGAGGGAGTCGGTTGCAGCAACGACTTTGGCTAAGGGCAACCGACAAGCTCGACGGGTTATGCCCAAACACTGAGTAACAATGAGAGTTGCATCATTGAGGATTGTGATCCGTGAATACTGGAATGTCTCTCAGATCATATTCTACTTATGGATGAGGTCCACATCGACCTCTTATCGATGAGTTGTAATTGATTTGAAATTATCAAACTCCCATAAGATTATTTGTGCATTAAATTGCATTCCATCAGCAGCGATAACTATTGAATATATAATCGATTATTAATCGATCCTTCCAAATCGATGCACTAAACATTTCTGTCAGTGTCTTGGTTCCGCAGAAATCCCAATGCTCACACACCCACCCAACCTGCGACCGCCCACCAACTGATGTAAGAGCCATCAGGTCTGAATCCTTCCCCCACCAAGAAGAGTTCTTCCTCCTACAAAACCCCAAAACGAAAAAAAAACCCAAGCATACCACCCCCCTAAGGCCTTTACGTACGGGGAACCCAGCAACATTTTCACCCACCCACAAACACACATAGAGAGAGACACCCACACCTATAGAGTCGCACAAGCAATCTGCCAACTCAACTCCATCTTGGCCTGGCCAAAAAAGAGACGAAGAGTGGCACAGGCACAGGCAGAGGTGATGGTGGAGGTGGAGGTAGAGGCGGTGTCGGAGGCGAAGGCGAAGGCAAAGGCAGAAGGAAATGAAGAAGGCAACGATGTATTTCAGCTTCAGCCACAATCAAAGTTGCTTTAGAGGATGGGGCTGCTGGATGGTAGCTGGTGGCTGGTGGCTGATGGCTTGAGGCTGGAGAAGGAGCTGCTGCCAGACTTGGCTCATCCCCAAACCCGGGGCGCACACAGGGATAGAGATAGAAAGAGACCTGATTGGGTGGGGCGGGGGCAGAGAAACGAATCCCACTCACACACACACACACACGAACACATGGCAAAAAGGATGCCCCGACAAGCGACGCCGCCTTCAATCTAGTCACACACACACACACAGACACACACACGAATGAGCAGGATCTGAAGCACAAAAACAATGCCGAAAGTTTCTACACAAGCGCCTCGACCTCACCTTCATTTGGCAGCTTTCCTTCTCCTTCTCCTTCTGCATCTGCCCCTCCTCCTCAACTCACTGTCTCCGTGTTGCCAAGCCAAAGACACTCGCCCCCCACTTATGCCCCGAACTGTGTGCTACACTTTTGGTAGGCACAATCCTCATCCTCGAGACGCACCCTTGCCTATCCCACCCACACCCAAAACCCACACATGTCTGTCCTCAAGTGTGTGTGTGTGCGTCTTCGACTTTGGCTTAGTATTTTTGGTTAATTTTCTTGCAGTTTTAGGTTACGTTTTTGGCTTTTACCACTGATGCCTGCTCCCCCACTCCCACTCCTGCTATTGCTCTGCCTCCACAGCCATCCAAGGATGGCTACCCCTCGGGCTTTTCACTTGGTAAAGACGTTTGCTTAAAAGCCACCATCCACACATATACGCACACCCCGCACACACTCGTATTTAGTTAGTTTGTGATGCTTTTTAGTGCCGGGGACTCGAGACCCGAGACATCTTAAAGGGGTGCCGGCACACACGCACACACACACACACACACACCCACTGTCCCCCTCCTGTCGCCGCCAGGCAGCATACAAATGAAACCCACGTCATGTTGTAGTATGAAACAGCTCTACATACCCACTCCCATTCCCAGCCCCATCTCCAATCTTCTGCTTACCATTCATTATTTTCCATTTTGCTGCTCCTTCCCACTATTGCTTCAGGAGAGCTCTCCCTTTCCTGCTCTGACTTTGGCTCTGGCCTGGGATCTGGCTGTGGCTGCTGATGAGCTAAGCCAACATCTAAAAATTTGTATGCTCCGGTACCCCGACAGTGCCGTCTTTGTGCAGTGTTTCATCAGCCACATTTTACATTTATTACTTGAGACAACGTCCCCTAGCACCCACCAAAGAGGGTCTGCTGCTGCTCTTAATGAAAATGAGGGAACGCTATTTGCCAGAGTGGAGTCCGGCAGAGGCTCCACGATTGATGTGCCGATGGAACACACTTAAAGCGCTCGGCCTGCTGCCGCCGCTGCTTCCGATTCTGTAAGCGACCCCCTCAAGGCACAACTGTCGCTGGCAATAACCTTTAGCCAAGTTCTGGTACTCCCCACGACTTCGCCCACTCGAGTGCTCAAAACGGCAACACGAAACGATTCATCTTCGCATGCTTTCGAGCGACACCCAATCCGGTACCCAGGAC